CTAAGTGTGGAGACTTGGGGGTAAAGTGGCCAAATTCTCGCCCTGCCTAGGTGGGTAACATGGCCTAGCTATCAAGACGGTTCATCGAGGTGGCTAGCAAGACGAGGAGCGTGGAGTCGTCAGGACTCAGGACTGTCAAGGATGTGATCAAGACTTCATCATGGAGGCTAAGGCAAAGATGCTCAACACCAACCTAGCCCGGCATCGAGACCATCAAGTACCCACCAGCCCCAAGGAGGGACAAGGGCTCCCAAGGCGACGGTTACCAATTAGTCACCAAGGCGGGACAAGGGACCCCAAGGCGGTTTGAGGCAAGAGGCCAGCTAGCAGTTACTAAGGCGGTTACCAATGCAGTTACACCCGATGGCTATAAATAGGAGAAACGAAGACGGGAAAAGGGTTCCACAACCAACCATTTGACAACACTTGTCAAACTTTATCTTTTTCTCTGCAATGTAGCCATAGTGATAGCCTTTAGTTTCTGGATCTCTCATTGAACCTCCATAGGAGTAGAGTAACTTAACTTAGTTTTCTTAGCCATCAATATCATCAAACACCCTCGTTCGAACATTGTTCGGAGAGGTGTGAACCGTGTTATTAATCGTTTTTCAAGAAGTTAAGGTGCATTTATTGAAATCAAACACCAGTTTTTCCTCTCCGGAAAACAAATTGGCACACCTGGTGGGACAATCTGTGTTTGATTTGATGGCTCCGCGACTAAGAGAACGAGAATGTGATCTTTCACCTGGTTTTGTAAAAGAGCTAGTGGCCAGGTCTGATCTTGGCCAATTAGCTAAAAGTGACGCTGTAAACAATGGTGAGGCAAGAGGTCAGCCATCACTCGTGCCATGTTTGGGTGTAACCACCACCACGTTGTCTCTCTATCAGTCACTGGTGGTAGAGATACAATTAATGGAGGAGGCTATGGTGGGATACACAAAACAAATTGTATCTCAACTTGATAGTTTCCATACTCGTCAAAATCGACATTTGGATCAAATGGATGAGATATGCGAGATAAATGAAAGTAGTTGTAAGAAGTTTCGCCAAGTTTTGATGAAACCAAGTTAAGATCAAAGGTTTTGGCGAAAGATGGTGTAGATCCACCATCAAGCGTTGCTACTAGGGATACAATTATTCTTGTCTATGATGGTCGGACTGCCCAACTACGATCAGGGAACTTACCGCCTCCGGCGACAAGTCAACTATCTCTTCAACATAGCGGTTAAAAATATCTCACCCACGTTCACTACTCATGGGGAACAACCGCTTGTGCAAACAGTTACTCTAGGAACCACCACTGAGGGTAGATCTGGCCTTAGTGTGATGAGTGCGGAAGGATTAGTTTTTGTAGATGTAATACAAAAATCTTGCTCAACTTTGGTGTCATCCATCCCCAACGGGTCAGCCCAACCATTAGGGGGGCATGGAAGCCTATCACCTGACAGCTTGAAGGTGAAGTGTCAGGCTGGGGGGCACGTTGATTTCAAGAAAATTGAACAAAAGGGTGTATCCAACAGAACACCATATTTATTGTCTAAGGATGGCATATGGGCATGTTATCAACCACAAGAAGTGGGTTGACATTTGTGCCCTAGAAGCCACAACAGGCCCAAGCCACATGCGTTTCTAGTAAGAATGCTAATGTAGTTAATACTAATGTAGCTAAGTGTGGCGAGGGGGGCATGTCTCCATCTCCATGCTGTGGAAAGGGGGACATGTCATTAAACATGATGAATGGAGTGAGTGGCAAGTCTAAGTGGGTGTTGGATACCCATGCCACCCATGATTTTCATAACTTTGACAGCGTGTCAAAGAGTGGACAAGGAGGCAAGGCCCCTTGTAGCATGCCGCCCATGAACGGTTGACAACGGGGCATGTCACCAACCACAAACAATAGACGGATAGATCTGCCCAAGAAACCACAACAAACTCAAGCCACACATGCTTGTAGTAAGCGTGATAGCGTATCTAAGGATGGCATGGGGGGCATGTCATCAATCACAACTAGTAGGTTGATAGGTGTGCCCAATAAGCCACAACAGGAAGCCACACATGCTTTTAGTAAGCATACTAATATGGCTAAGTCTGGCAAGGGGTGCATGTCAACAATCATGAATAATGGTATGGGGGTATGTCTCCAACCAGTGTGTAGGGGGCATGTCACCGACCATGAAGAAATAAGTGGGAGAAAATTATATGAGTGTGCAGCACACCTAAGCCACTCAAAAAGTTTCTAAGTATGAGAGTGTGTTAAGGAATGGACAAAGAAGCAAGTACATGCTTAACAACCCTCATGGCAGGCCAAACATGAATGGCATACAAGGGAGCATGAATAAGACATCTCGACACACACCAATTAGACATGGTCCCACAGAGGGTCAAGGGTGGTTATGTGCTAATTGTAAGGGTCATCAAGAGATAAGGGTTGAACATGGTCAAGTTGGCCACAATGGTGACCATCAACTCTTTAAGTCCAGACACCCGTCTTCCCAACCATATGGGAAGAGTAAGCATGTGTCAATCATGAGAAACTAAGGTCAAAGACAACTCATGGTCTTGTTGATGACTCAAAGGAGTTGAAAGTTTCTAGTGCACCACCCGGAAGGAGGCAAGCACATCGAGTGCAACATCAACCCAACATGTCTAGTAAGGTTCCTCAAGCTTACAAGCATGGGACCCCTTGCAAGCCCACCAAGACAGGACAAGTTGATCGGGTACCATCCGTTGTTAAGCTGGACAAGTAGAGTATGGATTGTTGGCTTGGTTTAATCCATGTACTTGGCAGTGGGAGTACACCTTTGTCACATTGTTGGTTGCCAAAGGGTATGGAAATTAGTGACGTCTGTCACTCCTTACTAAAATAATTATATAATTAAAAAATTACTAGTAAAATAAGAGAATAAAAAAAGAAAACCGCAAGCCAATCATGGCTAAAAAAAGTCAGAGTTGTAATACATGCGATGTGAAGACCTTGCCACGACTGGTAAACAACGAGTAAGGTGGCTGGGTCTATGGAGCCCCCTATGCTCGTTTGATTGGTGGGTACACCATGCCACTTCATGGCATGAGTAGTTGATCGGTGTCAGGCATGGAGCTTTTCCCATCCATGCCACCCATTCCAATGGGGCATACTTGTTGAAAGGTCTGATGGATGGTACATGATGGATTGATCGATGAAAAGTATCTCAACCTCCTATATCCCTTGCATTTTGGGACGCGAGATATCAATAGGTTCAAAGTTAACAATGGCATGATACCCTTTTGAATGAGCATAATTTGAATAGTTAGTCATGACAGGAAGGGTATGTCGAGTTGGAAGCATGGTGTTAAAAGTGGGGGCAGTAAAGTCGAGTGGATTGGTACCGAGACTCTCATTAGATAGTGGGTGTCTTGATTGTGGTTGAGTCAAGAAAAAGTTTTTTGGATTGAATAAGTTACTCATAGGAAGCCTGATTGTTCAGCTCCATTGGACGAACACAAACTTCAAGGGGTTAAAGTGACTCCTCGGGCTCCTCGTATCTCGCACCTCTTCTTTGTGGATGATTCTTATTTATTTCTAAGGGGATCCCTCCAGGAATGCGGAAACCTGATTGAGGTGTTGAATGAGTATGAGGAGCTCAGTGGCCAGAGGGTTAACTTGGACAAGTCTGCTGTGTGCTTTAGCAGAAATATTGCGCTGCCTGACCAGGAGTTCTTGGCCCAGATTCTAGGGGTTGGGGCAGTAGGAGTCCATGATAAATATATGGGGTTACCGACACTCATTGCATGCTCTAAGATGGCTACTTTTCGATATTTGGAGGAAAAGCTACTGGAAAGACTGCAGGGTTGGAAACGGAGGACATTGTCCTGGGCAGCTAAAGAGGTCTTGATCAAGTCCGTCGCTTTAGCTTTACCATTGCATGTCATGTCTTGTTTCAAGATCCCTCTGTCCCTTTGCAGGCTCCTTGATAAGCATGTTACCAGGTTCTGGTGGAGTGTTGAGGAGGACCAGTCCAAAATCCGTTGGGTATCATGGCGTAATATGTGTAGAAGCAAGCATGATGGTGGAATGGGGTTTCGTCGCTTTGAGCATTTTAATCAGGCTCTGCTGGCCAAGATTGGATGGCAAATCATTACTGAACCTCAATCTCTTTTAGAGCAGGTCTATCGAGGAAATTATTTCCCTACGGGAACCTTCCTCACTGCTAAAGCGCGGTCTCGCCCATCATGGGGTTGGCAGAGTATTCTTCATGGTAGGCAGTTACTGGAGAAGGGGATCAGATGGCAGGTTGGGAATGGTCAGACAACCTCTCTCATGTCGTCTAATTGGGTTCCTCTCTTACATCTATCTCCTCCACAATTTAACCCCATGGTACTCCCAGATGGGGGTGACCCTCTGGTTGCTGAGGTAATTATTCCAGGGGAAGGGCGGTGGTGTGATTTTAAGCTTAACCAGTGGTTTGACCCACAGACATGTCGTGCCATCAAGGCTATCCCTCTCCCGCGTAGCAATGTAGAGGATAGACTGGTCTTGCATGACTCGGCTGATGGGGTTTTCTCGGTCAAGTATGCTTTCCACCTGGCAGTCAGATTGGATCAGTGTACCAACCGATGGAGAGCTACGGTTAGTTGGATGGACAGGGCCAGTTGGATTCGGTTGTGGGAGGCCAACATTCCGCCTAAGTTGAAGGTATTCGTTTGGCAAATTTTTAACCGGATTCTTCCCACAACAGAGGCTCTCCTGGAGAAGGATGTCGTGGTACATCGCAGGTGTCCAGTTTGTTGGGCAGAGACTGAGATGATGGAGCATTTATTTCTTGATTGCCCGGTGGCCCGTGCCCTTTGGGATTATTCAGGGTTGGAACATTTAGGGCAAGGGTTACCCTGACAGACTTTCCCACTCTTTCTTAAGAAGTTGCTGGCGATTATCCACCTACCAGACCTTTTGTTAGCTGTTGTGGCTGTCCTCTGGCGAATTTGGCGATCTCGTGACTGGGTAGTCTTTGAAGGAAAGCATTTTGGGATCCCAACTTTGATTAGGCAGTATAACCAACAGCTGGATGAATGGGTACGCCTCGCCGCTGATCCGGTCATTGTGCCGATAACCTCCGTACCGAGCCACTTGAGTCCAGCGGCACTGGTAGTTGTTTCCGCGGCACTGGTAGTTGTTTCCGCGCTTGTTCCTCTTTGGACGCCTTTGCGGGTTCGAAGCGCCTGTCGGAGCCCGCGCCAAGTGTCTCTTCTAGCGTGATGGCTTTCTCAATCTTGACCTCCAGCTCTGTCGTCAGCGTGACAGGTCTTTTTGCTAGCGCTCGTTTGAGCTCCACGTTAGTGGTGGCGTCCATGAGGTGATGGGCGGCAGTTTCTGGGGTGAGGTCTCTCACGGCCATTGCCACCCTGGACCATCTGGCGTAGAATGCTCGCAAGCTTTGTCCGTCCTTTTGCCTGATATCTATTAGCGCTTTGAGATGAAGCGGCCTTCTTTTCTGGGATGCGAACTTTGTGGTGAACAGGAGTATGAACTCCTCAAATGAGCGGATGATTCCGTTTGGGAGGCGGTTGTACCAATCGAGGCATATTCCAGAGAATGTTGATGGGAAGGTTCTGCATTGCGCCGCGTTGGAGTTAGTCTGGAGTTGCATCCTCAGGCAGAAGGTGCTGACGTGATCTTCTGGATCAGTCGTTCCATTGTAAGTTGGGAGGGTGGGTGGCGCTCCGCTTAAGTTCTCCGCCATTATTTCCGTGCTCAGCGGTTGATGTAGGATTCTTCTGGGTGGGTTAGGGCGGAATTGCGGAGTCAGATGCTGCTCCAAGAAACTGAGGTCCGCCCTCCCTGGCAGTTCGATTTGTCGCGCTTCAGATGTGGACAATGCGCCCTCTGCTTGTTGTGGTGGCGCTGCTGCGCCTGACGCCTCTCCTGGTTGTGGTGCGAAAGGCGCAGCACCTGGTGCTGTCGCGGCTTCCTTGCTCATCATGAGCGCGAGGACTTGGCTCATCTGTTTTTGCATGTAAGCTATGACGCTGTTTTGCTTCGTTACCAACTGCCTCATTTCCTTGGCTGTCAGCTCAGGCTCCTCCTCCTCAACGAGCACTGCGTTGAGGTTACTCCCTTCGGCGAACGCTCTCGGGGTTGTCATAGCCTTGATGGGCGTCACCTCGTCGGGAAAGTTGGAGTTGGGCTCTGTCATTGGTTGGATTTCTGTTACTTTTTCTACTCAGGCCCACGGTGGGCGCCAATTGTTTGAACCTAACTGAGTGTAGGAGTGAGGTCCGGGGAAATGGGTTGAGGAGAATAAGCAATGGGAATCTGACGTGGACCCAAGAACAGAGAAGAGAAAGAAGGGTGTGGAGTTGAGAGGGAAATATCTTAGAGAGAGAAGTTGATAATCTTAGAGATAGAGTCAGAAAAATCGATCCCCTCACCCACCGGAGTAAATGCCTTATTTATAGGCTACATGGTGGTGGGTGAGTTACATGGTGACCTGTCATAGTGACATGACTACTGACCTGTCAGAAGACTAGGCCATATCCCTACCTAGGACAAGTACACTTAGCCTTTCATTATACCTAGGACTATGATGTGACTACCCGATAGGTGGGACACGGTGTCGTTTCCCATTCTCGCTACTTTAGTCAAAGTTGGACTCGGGCTGCTCTCGGACGCGCTGGCGCTGATGCGCCCATCTCCAGGTATTCGCGCTCGCCTAGGTATTCGCTCGCGCCGGTGCTGGCGCGCCCGCCGCTTGGTATTTGACGCTCTGCGGTGCGCTTGCTCGCGCCGATGTTGGTGCGTCCGTCCCTTGGTGCCGGTATTTCTTTGGCGCGGCGGGATCCGAGTCACATGCCCAACAGTTGTCATTGATAAAATCAATCGGGCAGAGACGGGTGATACTCGGATGGGGGCTGTGTTTGAAGAAGTAGTTTCATATTTTGCCTTTCATTCGGGGTTTAGTGTGCGATTTGTAGGTCGGCGTCACAGTAGGGCAGCCCATGTGGTGGCTAGAAAGGCCCTTTCATTATTGTCAACTGCGTGTCGTGTTTTTTATTTTCAGACCTGGCTGAATTCCAGGATGTAACTATATTTCCTATGAATTGATTATCCTTTGAAAAAAAAAAAAAAACTCCATTGGACGAATCGGAGATGGAAATTGTCTCCACCCAGTCGTCCCCATTCTTAAAAAAAAAAATTAATAATAATAATTGGCCAGGCACGACCATTAAGACGAGTGAGCAAGAAAAACTTGCAAGCCGTAGTGATCTTGTTCTCTAGTCCGAGTTTTGATCTCGTCCCGCCAGACTCAATGGACCAGTAGCTATAGCCAATTTTGGCTCAGAGAGGAGATTTTTAATTGATGGCCTTCTGGTTAAAGCCAAGCCAATTTTGGATTAGAGAGTAACGTGGGTTTCCTCATTCATTAAGGCCAGGCCATGTTTATGTGGTTTAGGGTCGTGGGTTTATGATTGGCTTAGGGAGTGACTGAAGCAAGTTAATATTTTAGGTGGTCAAATAGCGCTCAACAACTTAGTGCATAATCCTTATACACTAAGTTGTGGGACATTTGTTTACCCATAAAAAAAAATCAGCTTTTACCACATTGATTAATTACTAGAGAGTTAATGAGTTTATAAGGCCAACTCATCATTAATAATTAAAAGAGCTAGTTAGACCTTGTTGGGTTGGGTTTTTGGGCCTAAGTGGCCAAACCCCTTCTTCTCTATACGATGGCCGGCCCGTCTCCGGGGCCTCCATAGCCGGATGATGCCTCCACCCCTTGGTATGAAATTTAGCTCCCAAAAACTAAGTCTGGAAACAAGGCGACACAACGGGGAGGCAGGCCTGGTACCCAAGTAAGAAATTTGGCTAAGTATGGAAAACAAGGCAATACAATGGAGGCAGGCCTGGTACCCAAGTAAGAAATTTGGCTAAGTATGGAAAACAAGGCAATACAATGGGGGGTGCCTGGTACCCAAGTAAGAAATTTGGCTAAGTATGGAAAACAAGGCAATACAATGGGGGTGCCAAACGATCGGGTACCAAGCCGGATAAGTATGGAAAACAAGGCAATACAATGGGGGTGCCAAACGATCGGGTACCAAGCCGGATACAAAATAGGAGGCCGCCGACAAGGCGAGCTTGGTACCAAGCCGGATACAAAATAGGAGGTCGCCGACAAGGCGAGCTTGGTACCAAGACAATGCATAGAATTTGGTTAAGTATTGAGCCAAAGAGGGTAAATTGGCGACAAGGCGGGCTTGGTACCAAGACATGAAATTTGGCTAAGTATGGAGCCAAAGGGGTATCAAGCCGGCAAGACAGGCTTGGAAATCGCTAAGTATGGAGCCAAAGGGGTATCAAGCCGGCAAGACAGGCTTGGAAATCAAGCAAGGCGACAGAGCACCATGACCCCAAGGGGGTATGAAGCCGACAAGTCAGGTACCAACTAAGAGAGTCATAAAGAAACTAAGTTTGGATATCACGCAGACAAGACGGGTTTGATAGCCCGACATTAGGGCATCAAACCAACAAGACAAGAAAGTTGGATATCACGCAGACAAGACGGGTTTGATAGCCCGACATTAGGGCATCAAACCAACAAGACAAGAAATTTGACTAAGGCAAGGTGGCTAGCTGAGGTGGCCACCCAACTAGGTATAAACAACCATGGATGAATCAGCCAGGATGTCGAGCTGAGGGTGTCAATATGATGAGGACTCATAGAGCACCTTATGTGGCCATATGGAGACTAAGTCCCAAGATGGGTGCAAGGTACCAACTTGATAAGATTGCAGAAGCTAAGTATGGAGACGAAGCCAGCAGGACTGGTTTGGTAGCAAGGGTATCAAGCCGACAAGATTGGCTTGATACCAAGATGACAAGTTGGTGCCATGGTAGTCACTCTAAGACTTAAGTGTGGAGACCCACCATCCCCAAGGAGGGACAAGGGCCCCCAAGGCGATGGTTACTAACTAGTCAACAAGGCAAGACAAGGGACCCCGAGGCGGATTGGGGCAAGAGGCCAGCTAGCAGTTATTACGGCGGTTACCAAGGCAGTTACACCCGGTGGCTATAAATAGGAGAAACTAAGACGGGAAAAGGGTTCCACAATCAACCATTTGACAACACATGTCAAACTTTATCTTTTTCTCTGCAATGTAGCCATAGTTATAGCCTTTAGTTTGTGGAGCTCTCACTGAACCTCCATAGGAGTAGAGTAACTTAACTTAGTTTTCTTAGCCATCAAAATCATCAAACACCCTCGTTCGAACATTGTTCGGAGAGGTGTAAACCGTATTATTAATCGTTGTTCAAGAAGTCAATGTGCATTTATTGAAATCAAACACCAGTTTTTCCTCTCCGGAAAATTGTTCTTGTTTCAATTTGGTGTCATGTAGCTTGTACTTTTCCGTTTGGCCTTAGCCCATTTGTTTTCTTAATGAATCCTCTTTAAAAAAGGTAGTATTTTGTGGACGTATATTAACTCAAATAAGATAATTTTTATTCCTTTCAATTTTAATTATCTTTGTCAATGTGACAAATCTAAATCTACGGTGAAAAAACCATTATCTAACTCATGTGCACTATATACTGAACTATATTGTTCAATATATATAGTTAAACATAATAATTTAGGGGAAAGGCTAGCATACTTCTGGTATACGTTATACACATGCGTTCACATATATTATTTGAACTTCGATAATTTTGACGAATGAGAACTGTTGATTTTTATTTTATGATCAAATTAATCTTATGGTTTGGGTTAGAGAATTGGAGACAAAACTAGATGAGCATAGTATCATGCCTTAAACTCCGGTTAATTTATGGTCCAAATAACAAAACTAGATGAGCATACGGTAAGATAAGCATATGTCTGCAGACACTAGCATGAACCTAAAATTAGTTATTTTTTCACTACCATCTCAAATATGCATGCTAAACTTACACGAGAGCAATGAATGCAAAAGTCGAAGAACAATTATGGCAATGATTTGTCCACATTTGTTCGAATAAAGAGCTAAATCACTTATGCCATGATCAACAACGACGATAAAATTGAGAAAAATAAATATTTTATGGATATATTGAACTCCATTAAAGTAAAATAATTTTCTTTTATGGTGAAGATTGATTATTTTATTATGTATGTATCATAGGAATAGGAAGCAACTTTCATGTTATCATTTATGGATTGTTTATATAGACAACAATTTGTTTGTAAACAGATATGTCACTATTAGTTGTATTTCTTTGTTAGTCTTTTTGACTTTCTCATATTTTCAATACGTTCTAAGCGTACTCAAATTCATTTAAGTATTTAGCTAGATAATTCATGATGAAATACCTAACAAAACACACATCATTAATATAACTAACACATACAAATTATATAATTATCAATGTTTGCCAGTAAACAGATCGAGCTTGTGCTAGTTGTTATATAGGTAGAAATTTTGCAACCAATTGAATGAGGAAAAAAAAAATATACCTTTTGAGGGATGCTGTCCACTGATATATTTGTTTTTTTGTGTATGATATACTCTAGCCATTGAACGCAAGTCATTATTCATGTGGATCCTGCATTCTTGTTTGGATGACCCTCTTCTTCTAAATTCCAACCATTTGTCACATTTTAGAGCTTAAGTGCGCTTTATTGTGCTTCTCAATTATATCCAAAATTTTATTCAAATAAACACATAAAATATTATATTCATTCCAAAAAAAATTATTATCTAAGATGACTATGATATCATGATCCCTACTTAATCATAATATCAAACTTGATTGTTTCCGAGCCTTGTTTCGCTACGACAGTCGAGTACTTTGAAGCGGATGTTCTCTGACACATAGGTTAAATATGTATTTTATGTCTAACTTAAAAACCTTTTGTCACATATCCATGGGTATAATTCTATCAAGATTTGATCATAAATTGCACAATACTATCACTATATTGCCAACTAAACTGTTGCATAAGGCTTCCAGCGGAACTGTTCAAAAAAAAAAAAAAAAGGCTTCCAGCGGAAGGCCATATACTGAATCGTTCTATAATTTCGATCAATAACTTAATGACAAGCATTCACATTAGCATAAATTTTATACTAACAGTAAATCATCTCTTATGCCTTTAATATGGTCCATATATGTTTCTAACATACATGTAACATTGCTTCAGAGGTTAGCATGCTTGGTTTGGTCGGCAATCAGACTGTTTTCCCTTAAAAAGTTAAAAACTATATTCAATTGCACTTGTTAATTCAGATTGAAGGGATACCTAACTAACTTCATCTTTCTTTTGATGGACACACATTACTTAATCAAGAGTCAAAGACTCAAAGCTCGACCAAACCTCATAAGATCATATTAGAAAGCGTTTTTCTGCTTTTACCCGTTAGGATATAATAATTTTGTTGCTTAAGCCTTAAAGTAGCGGCTTAACTTAACTAATAATATGATTTAGGAAGGCCAACTAACCTCCTTTATGTGATTTCCCATTTCTAGAGTTCATGGTAACAAACCAGTTCCCGGAAATCATCCAAAACTTGTACATTCAAGAGAACCAGATAGATTTTGTATACAACATCTGGTCTTCTGCTATTGAATCTGGATTAAACCACATTGGAAATGAACAAAAACCGAAGAGGAATATATGAATTGCTCATATATTATAATTCTTTTCCTGCAAGCGAGTAGGCTACATGTACAACTTTGATATCTGCATGATCAACCAGAAGGTGATCAAAACAACACAGGCTTTAGCCATGGGAATCAAATCTCAACGCATAGTTGAGAAAGCCAACAAAACAAAAGAAGACCCAGCAGCTGCCGCGCAGTTTTGCTCATGGCAGTCAAAATTTTGAGACCCTTCATAGCCCTATTAGCCTGTCAACTCATGAAATACACATATGAGAGAGAACATGTTAGCTGAGTAGTTGGTATTCACACTTCCTGCAAGTTAGCAAACCAAATCAGTCTCTTTCTTCCACAAAGGGATTCAATAGTCGGCCCTGAGGTAATTCTCGTACTCGGTTCCATACAACGTCTTGTTCACGTCTTCCCAGTTCTTGATCAGTTCTGATAACGGCCCCTTGTGGATCTTTACCTGCCGGCTTCTCAGCTCCATTACCGGAAGCCTCATAAACTCCTGCACCTCCTCAAGTTTCTGCACCACCAACGAAAAATCATATAACGATGTCAAACTCGATGTTTTCTAGCAGAAAGATCCATACTTTCAACTCTCAGCAAAAAATAGAAACTTGTGATCTTCTCTTAGCCTAAGAGAATACTTGTGGTATTTTCTCATCCTAATTAAGAGAATACTTGTGGTCTTATTCTTACCCTAATATAACTTCTATAGTGGGTTTAAGAATTAAGGTTTATGTTCTGACAGGACCTAACTATGTTTCTGAAGATAATATTTCATTTTTCAACCAACCTTGCTGTTGTTAACAAGATCCTCGTAGTACACAACCATGTGCCGAGTGGTGTTGTAATACTCTAGAGCCTTCGCAACCAAGATCTCTGCCTGTCTCAAATCGGATATCAGCAATGTGGAGTTAAGTATGGGCTTATACTTGGAAAGTGTTTCAGCCTGCAACAAAACAGTGGCTGGCTATCAGCATAAGAAAGCAGATGCGAAAGAGGAGAAAGAAAGTTTATGGGGGACTGGAAGAGCAACCTCTTCAGTGGTATGGACATGAGATTTGTGAGTTCCGTTCAATAACTTGGCATATTTGTCATAGGAATTTGCAAGCAGTGAAACCATTCGTCGAAGTAGGTTTCTACGAAAGAGAAAAATTACAGACACGTCCCTGCGGTTGAGGTACTCCACTATTTCTTCGTGATGCTCCATCACTCCCTACGGAAAGAAGAAGAAAGGTGAGATATAAGCACATTGTTGGGCAGTAACAAAACCATCCTTTAAAAAAAACCCCTCTCTTATCCAACCAGTACATTACAATTTTATCCTTTATATTCGTCTTCTTTTTTTTCCAGTTTAACCAATGATAAAAGCTAACTAAGGCAGTAGACAAACACATGGCGAAGAAGTTCTGTTCCGAAAACCATGAAATGCATTAATTTAAATAGCAAATTCCCTTTTATCAAGCACAGCAACTGGTCAAAATGGTTTCGTTTTCAGTTCTCTTGTCATAGTTAATAAATGAAAGATTGGTCTTTTCCAGCAAGCTACACATAGGATGATTCATGAAAGCAGTAAGATCATCTGATGAATATACCCTTGGATACCAGATACGAGATGAGGAAAATAGCATTTCCAATCAGACCCACTGAAAATAGACCTAAGTGCATTGTTCTGCAACAAGCATTATTGAAAAAGGAAACTTCTGCATGGTGCAAACATTCCATATATGTTCATATCACCTGATTAGAAGAGATCAAAACAGCACAGGAAGTACCATACAGTACAGACCAATTATAGCTCTCTATTGCAAAAATTGAGCAGTCACACTTTTTGGTCCTATGCAAAGATACTCGGTTATAGAATTTCAACTGCTCCACGAAACTAAACCGCATCATTTGACAAATGTAGTACGAATGCAACTGACTCATTTTTGCTGAAGTCTAGACTTGAGACAAGGGAATTACATGAGAACTGTATTGGCAACCACTTGAACAGTATAGCACCTAACTATAAAAATTTAACTAAACTTCCATGTTCAACACTTTCTGAGTTACCTGATTCAGCATCCACTTGAATCCAACAGCAGCAGAGCATTCATTCTTGGAAGCACTAGAGAACCAGTCCAAATTATAGACCCGATTGAGAGTTCCAACAATAGCGGAGACATTTCTTCTCCTGTCCAAAACCGAAAAGATCTCCCCATTCGAGCTCACGTTAACATGACTATTCAATAAGGTCTCAAACCATCCGCTCCCTGACCTTTGGGTCGATACAATTGCAAAGTAACGTACAGGGTTATCCACACATTCCTCCCTGAAAAACAAACGAAACAATGCTCATAAAGCTGATATTAACAGAACCAAAGCAGGCCAATATGAAATGCAAATGTACGTTTCTATTATTACCTGCTGAAACTTTCAGGGTTTGGGTAATGCAGCTTAGGCACATGAGAGAGACCATGGTCAGCAGTATTGGATGGCTCGTTAATCACTTGTATATCTTTAATATTTACTTTGCTAAGGCCGCTAATCTGCTGCAGGCAAATGGTGCAGATGTAGACACCAAACGTCATGGCAAACATTAGAACCACCATCCTCAATAACATAGAAGACTTCTTGGGAGGTTTAATGATTACTGCGTCCTGTGAGAAGGAAGAAACCAAGCAATCTGCGTCAGCGATAGAAAGATTGGCATACAAATCTGTCGGTGAAATCTGGGCTCAGCAAAGTGAACTGAAACTCGAAAGCCAAAAGCTTTCAGCATCAATCAAGAGAAGAAAATAAAAACACGGGTGTGGGCCAATGTATGAGGATTGAAAAACTGAATGACATGTGGGTTTCCAGCTTAACACAGCGTAGAAATGCAGTCAGCAAAAAATTGCAGAAAGCTCTTAAACCCCAACCAGGTCTTGAAAACCCAGATCGAGACATGCAATGAGATGAATCTACAGAGAACCCCCAGAAATCTTACCCTCAAAACACGAAATCTCTCACACACAAACGAACAAATCCCAGCCCAAAAAAGGAAACAAATTTCCCAATCTTCCCTCCAAGAAAAAATCAGTAACATTTGAACTGAAAGTCAGTCGCTTTGCCACAAAAGAACAGAAACCCAGAAAAGAAAACTGAAAAAGAGGTGTCACCTTGCTGAGCAGATAGATATATTCCGCCATTGCAATGCTACTACTCCAGGCTCCTTCTTTACCCCCTAAGTAAACCCAAAACACAGACGAGGCGAGACAAGAATCTACTACTTCTATATAATTAATCCAAACTGCGGCAGTCACATGAGCTCCACATACATTCAAAACTTTATTCTTCTTCCTTGTAACCCATCTCGTAAAGATCAGCCACACACCGCTAAAATTCCTCCGCAGACGAATACTAAAAGCCAAAAAAACAGAGGAGACAGAACCAAAGAAAGAGAGAGGTGGAAGGAGCTGGCGGCCACAACCCAAAAGTGAGCGAGATTCTAATTTCTAAGCCCTGAGCTTCGAATTCAGAGAGAAATTTATCCGAGCGGTCTATTCAGAGAGTAACGCCACTGATTTTTTGGGGAATGAGGAAGAAACCCAAAAACCCACGAACACTTTCCAAGTAGTAAAGCCGGTGGCCGCTTGCAGCTGCTGTGTTCTGTTCCCTTCCGGCTACTTCTCTTTAAGGTTCTTAAATAATTAATTAATGGCGTTGGTAGAGAGAGCTTGCTTTTGTTTTGTTGTTTTCTTTTTGGTGGTAGTGTTGTAGTAGTATTATAACACGGCGGCATTTTGGAGACCGGGACGAAGGAGGATAGGCAAAGAAGATTAGAGGGAGAGAAGGCGGAGATGCCGTAACGTTTGTGTCAGGTTCTTAATTACTTTTATTTTTTGTTAATCACTATTATTAGTTCGAGAAGGGAAGCTGGTCTCGATAAAATTAAGCGATAATTGTTAAAAGCTAAAATAAATATATCGAAAGTTCGAACCAGCGGAGAAGTCGGTTACGGTGTGGGACTCGAGCTGTGTAGCTGCCTGCCAGGCTGGCTGGCTGGCTCGGAGTCGGAGGCTCGTCGTTTGACTTTTGACTTCTGTTCGGGGACGGCAATGGTTGTTTTCTGATTTTATTATAATTAACAATTTGCATTAGTGGCTAATCACTTGATTAGTACTGTGTTGGTTTTTGTGTTATTTAATTTGGTGGGCCTGAGAGCTTTAGCTTTTCTTTCTCTTTTGGATCCAACTTTTTCTATAAACGGATATATCTTTGGTTATGCAATGCATTAGCCATTAGGGTCAGTGATTTGGACCAAAAAGAAATTAGGGTTGGTGTTCATTTTGATTCCTCTACTTTGCTACTTTTAACAAACAAACCTTTATGACTTTAGTTTTTTAATATTATTTAAGAACAATTATATGTTTGTAATATTCAAGTTACATGCGCTTAGTGGAACGTTAAGAACAACCAATATGACGATTTAAACGAATTTTTCATTTGGATTTCAGATGTAATGGGTAACTAATTAAACGTTACTTCACTATTTACAGTTTCAAGGACTAGTTGACCTCATGCTACTATTTGATGTTGTTCGTGGCCAGTCATTACTGTTAGTAACTGGAGGATAACTTATAAAATTCAAGTATAACCTATAGTAACGAGTGATCACTATCGTTTTAAAAAAATGCATCCGAAAAATCTAGCTATAACTTTTAGTTTTTAGTTTGGCTTATGTTTTACAACAAATTTTCAAGTGGGACTAATTACAAATCAACCCATGTTGCTGGAAGAGTAGCCATTACTAAACAACACGACAATCACAGGGACTAAATTGCACCAAATGAAATATTGTGTTTTTTCCTTGAGTGAAATCTTCAATGAACAACTGAAACGAGGTAGCTTATAATTTCAAACTTGTTTTTACACTTTTGTCCTTTGAACTGCACAAAACATCGTTTTACTTGGATTACCGGTTCTTGGTGCGTGTTTATCGCCATCGTTCAGTATTAGAAATTTAGAATATGTCTCATATCCAATTCTCGATTAATTTATCCTATTTTTTATTATCGATTACTTGGTTTCTTTATAAGGTCACCATTCAGATAAAATAGGCCATATAATATTCAAGTCAATTTTTTTTGTAAGGGTAGAATCAGTCTAGTTAGGCCCTTGGAATTTATCTAAGAAATTAGGCAAACATCATCGTTTTTTTTTTTACAAAAACATCATCGTTCCAGGACTGATTCTTCTTCCGTGATGAATTCACTGACGTACCAAAAGACCCCTGAAATTTTTTCCATTTAGAATAGTTTCCAACAACTAATAGAAGAAGTGAAGATTTTATGATAAAATTTGAATGAGAAATGAGATGGTAACTCAATAATTGGCGATGAATTATTTTGCAAGTAACTATCATGATGACGAAAGTGGCACAAATTCTGAAATTTTCTTGTATTGCGTATGGGCCTGCGGCCTGCCTCTTCCCTTTTTCTTCCCCCTTTTCCACAAGTGTCCTTTCATTGCCCATCATGTTTGGTTGGCACAGACATAAAATTATTTTGCCCAAACCTTTTTTTTATTAGTATATGGAAAATTCAATAAACAAGGATTTAAAAGTCTTTCTCCTTTCATATGTAACAATGGGATGAAGTTTCAATAATTAAGCTTCAGGGTAAATGACACATTTGGTCATTGAGATTACTAATTTGTGTCATGTTTAGTCACTAAAAAAGTTTAATATCAATATTGGTCACTCGAATTACTGAATCTGGTCACATTTAGTCACTCTTCCGTTAGCCTCCGTCCAACTCTGGTCACTCAAATTACTGAAACATGTCACATTTTGTCACTCGAATTACTAAAACAAGTCACGTTTAGTCACTCTCCCGTTAGGTTCTGTTAATGGAGTTGGACTGAAACTAACGGGAGACTGACTAAATGTGACTTGATTCAGTATTTCGAGTGACTAAAATTTATATTAAACTTTTCTAGTGACTAAACATGACACGATTTAGTAATATCAGTGACCAAATGTGTCATTTACCCTTAAGCTTCATGACCCTATAAGAAAACAAGGCAAAAAACTATTGGCCATTTCCAATCTCAATTATTCCAAAGGGGAACTTTTATGAAGTTTGTTGGAGTTAGTGCTTTTCTGGGTCAAGGATGGTAACAGGTGAAGGAAAGAGGAAAAGGGATGGATTGGGAAAGAATTAATGGTAATTTAATTAATATGTTAGCTCATGTTCATCTTAACATTTAGGACTTTATTACGGTGACTTGCAAGTCACTATGATTTGGACAAAACGGTTGACCTCTTCATTGATATGGTCGACTTGTTTGGACAAAATGGTCGACCTCTTTGCTAGAATGATCGATCATATGTGCTTATATAAGCCGAGGCTCTAACTCCTGGACATAAACAATCAGAAACGCAGCAAAGATCAATTAGAAGCACAACGATCACAAAACGGATAATGACCCAAACCAAATCCACAAGTCGGGAAGAGGGCTAGGTATAGGAAGGACTATTCGGCTAGGGTGATGAGCTAGCAAAAAACGTCGGTTTCCTCTTGCTAAATCGATTCCACGATCAAGAAAGAAGAAGAAGAGAAGTTGGTGTTTGGAACAACCAATTCTAGGGTTTGTATTCTTGAATAAAAGTGTTTATTACCCCCTAAAAGACTTAGTTCAACCCCTTATATAGGCTTCAAAGGTTTTGGGCCAAAAATAACAAGAAAACCCGAGTTTTGGAGCAAAAGTCACATAATCCGCAAAGAACACAAAAATAGATCGTGCAGCAAAATCAGCCCCGATCTCACGGCCGTGAGATTAACTGTCTTCTCGAGCCTCAAAACCAATGATCATCACATCTCGTCCCACGAACAAATCAACCTCCATTTCGGTGAAGTTCTGGGCCATATAAGCTTGAAGTCGACCCTTGAATGCCTTGGCTTGACTTCTAGCGATCGGTCCACGCCCCTCTGGCACCAGAGTTAGACTTGAAACCGCCTTGGTGTTGATGCCCTCATTATCCCCCTCTACTTGAAAAGGATTTGCCCTCAAATCTGAGTCGTCTTCAAGGAAAGGAGCCAAGTCAGCAACATTGAACGTAGCACTCACACCATATCGCTTGGTAAGTCAATCTTGTAGGCATTGTCATTGATGCGTGCAAGGACTTGAAAGGGACCATCGCCACGAGGCAACAGCTTGGAACGTCGTTGTTCGGGAAAACGTTCCTTCCTCATGTGCACCCAGACCCAATCGCCTGGCTCAAATTGTTGGGGACGCCAATGCTTATTCACGTTCTTCAGGATCTGCTTTGTCCGCCTCTCTATGTGCAGCCGCGCCTTCTCATGTAGACCTCGAACAAACTCTGCTTTCTTCGCACCATCTAAATTCACACGCTCATTGATAGGTAATGGAGACAAATCCAATGGGGTTAAAGGATTAAAACCATACACAATCTCAAATGGTGAAAACTTAGTGGTAGAATGAACAACCCTATTATATGCAAACTCTACATGAGGTAAGCATTCTTCCCAAGACTTGACATTACTCTTAATGACAACCCTAAGCATTTAGGACAAAGTTCTATTAACTACTTTAGTTTGACCATCCGTTTGAGGGTGGCAAGTAGTAGAAAACAACAACTTAGTACCCAGCTTACTCCATAACGTTTTCCAGAAGTAACTCAAGAACTTGACATCACAATCATAGACTATAGTACGAGGCATACCATGCAACCTAAAAATTTCCCGAAAGAACAGTTCAGCTACATTGGATGCATCATCAGTTTTGTGACATGGGATAAAGTGTGCCATCTTTGAAAACCGGTCAACCACAACAAACACTGAATCTCTACCATTCCTAGTCCTAGGCAATCCAAGAACGAAATCCATAGAAATATCAATCCAAGGAGCAGTAGGAATAGGGAGAGGAGTATATAACCCGTTTGGCTGAACTCTTGTCTTGGCTTGGCGACACTTAAGACACCGTGCACACACCTTCTCCACGTCACCTCTCATGTGAGGCTAGTAGAAGTGTTCCTGTAGGCAATCCAAAGTCTTGGATACCCAAAATGAGCCATGAGGCCTCCACCATGAACCTCTCTAACCAGTAGCTCATGAATTGAAGCATGAGGCACACAAAGTCGGTTAGCACGAAACAAATAACCATCCACTCGATAATATTTTCCCTC